CTGGCCAGCCGGACAAGAGAACCGGCCATTGGCCTTCCCACGGCTCATTCCAAGGGTGAGGTCTATGGCCTGGGTTCCCACCGCCACGAGTGTCGGCGGTATTCCTGCGTTCTCTGAACCCCCACGTCAACCCCCGGGGTGACTCTGTCCTGCCCTTTTTACGTCCTTGAGAAAAATCGAGGGTCCGAGAAGACAAGACGCCTGTCCAGAGACCTCGTCTGCGGGACCTGGAAATCCGCGCGACCACAGGGACTCAGTGCGCCGTCCTTTGGCGGTGGGCCCTGGAAGTGGGGGGCAGACGCCCTGGTGGCTGGAGGGGGCGGATCTAAGGGCGGGTGGGCTCACTGAGCACAAAGCAAAGGGCAAGGTGAAAGCAGCGAACGTGGGCACAAGGGATGAAAGTGTGGCCAAGGCACAGGCAGGGTCTGAAAGTGTGGCCAAGGCACAGGCAGGGGTCGTCTTTGGGGGCGGATGTGGTGACAGGCAGCCGCCCAGGGGACTGCTGGCTGTCCCCAGGTGGGTTTCGGATGCCTGGGTGGCAGGAAGGCTCTACCTGCGCTCTACCCTGGTTTGCACAGAGCAGAGCCCCTGGGCCCGCCTCCGAGCACCGAACTTGAACTCTGATGGGGCAGCCGCCCTCTGCCCCGCCCACCGGGGGCCCCGGATGCCGCCAGGCTGGGCGAGGGCTCCCTTGGTTTCCAGCGCGTCTGCATTTCTGGAGCCCATTTTCTTGCCCGTGAAGGAGCTCGGGGCTCCGTCGAGCCCAACGACCGGGGTTGCTGTGCAGCTCAGAGGGGAAGCTCAAGGGGTCATTGTGTCCAGAAGGTGACGTGTGACTGAGGTCCGCGCTCCGGGGTGGGGCTGAGAGGCATAGTCCGCAGCGGCTGAAACACCCGCGCGTCAGGGGACAGAAGACAGTGTGCTTGTCGCAGGCGAGGCTCTGTCCCAGTGGGGACGCTCTGAGGTCTCAGTCGCCGAGCGGCTTAGCAGACAAGACCGCGTGTCACGTTAGTTACCGGCACTTCCCGGGCAGCTCTAACAGCTGAGCTTGCTCCTCTCCCGACGCCTGCCCCACTGCGGCCACACCTAACAGGATTAATAACACACCTTTGCTGTTGCCCTATGGGACCATCTCAAACATCTCTTTTTGCGACTGGTCCCCTCATCACAGGACCCAACCCAGGCCCCCGGGGGCTGCTCGGCCCCCTTCCTGTCTTCTTCTGACGAGTGCTCTGCCTCGTCCCTCTCGCGGCCGGGCTGGGGGAGAAACTAGGTCGCTCGGCCTCTGGCGTGGCTCACGTTCTGGGTTTGACAGATTGCTTCCTTGAGCTGTTGTTTTACCTGTTTCTCTGACTTCTGTATTTCCTGCAAAGCGATTGCTAGATCTAGACACTCGATTAGTTGCCGGTTCAACTGCTTTTGAGCAGAATATTTCATAGGTGGTGCCGGGTACCTCCTACTACGTCGCAACAGGAGGCCCACGAACACCTGTGTGTCGTGTTGAGTGAAGGACGAGCTTGGTCACTGAGCTTGCCTGGTGTCCGCCTCCCTGCCTCTGTGATTGAAGCCCCGCCACGCTTTTCAGGGGGCAAACCTGGGGACAAATGATTTCCCTCTATGGTTTCATTTAGAGGCAAAGTGGTGGTTTTCTATCACCCTCCCCTGTTGCCCCCTGGGAACAGAGGGTTTCTTTATTAGCTGGAGATTTCCTACAAAGAAGGCTCTTCCTTCATGTAACTATTATTTATGCTAAACTCCAGCCTGGACCGGTAAGGCAGACTAAGTGCTCAATCTTTTCTTCTGTCTCCCAGGGTCCGGAGGGATACGGTGCGGCCCAACAAACTTCAGCCATAGACACTTCTGTTTTTTAAGCATTGTTAGGAACACAGGGATTGCCGGACGTTTAATGTTTCAGTCAACCACAGTCATCGCTCTCGGCCGCGATGACAAACACTCCGCCCTCATCCCCTGGTGCCCTCTGGTTCGGAGCCCGCATCCTTCGGAGCCCGCATCCTTCGGACCCATCCGTTCTCACTTCCTTCCCTGCTTTCCAGCGCAACACGGTGCCGTCTGTCCGCGTCCTGGTTCAGACCTGGACTCTGCTCTTGCCCTGAATAACCCTGGTCTTTCCTGTGGGGACCAGGGGAGACTGCAGCGCATGTGGTCTGTGTAGGTGCCGCTGGTCGCTGCATTTCCAGGGGCCGAGGCTAAGAACTCCCCTTTGTGGAGGGGAAAAAAAGCGCCGTGATTTAGCGTGATTATTCCAACTCCAAGGTACGATCAGAGGATTTTAATGCGACCTTTCCTTTCACTTGCCTCTTCTCTTACGCTGCGCGCCTTGATTCTTAGGCTTCTCGCCCCCACTTTTACGCGGAGCTCCTCGGCCGTCCGCGTTCACGCAGGCGCAGCGCCGCGGCCCTGCGCCCGTGCCCTCTGGCGCCCCAGCAGGCAGGGCAGTGCAGCCGGTTCCTGCTTTGAGCCGCTGGAGAGGAAGCTGCGGGTACCTCGGGGTCTCAGTTCCAACCCGCGGCGTGTGTCTCCCGAGAAGGGGGCACCTGTTGCGGTGACGCAAAGCGTAGCGGGGGCCGCAGGCGCAGGGTCGGCGCCAGCCCTTGTGCCAGCGACGCCCGGCAGGTGGCCAGACACTGTGGCTTCCGTGGTGGGAGGCCCAAGGCCCACAGGGGCAGGAGGTGAGGCCCCTGGGCAGCCAGTGGCCGTCACCGGTGGCCCAGAAAGCCCCGGGGAGCCTGAGAGAGGTGGCCGAGGCCTCTGCAGGGACGGAGTCTCCGAGGCACTATCTGGAGTGACTGCTGATTTTAACTGGGAAGCAAAGTTGGGAAAGGAGGTCTGTGGCCGCCAAAACCCCAGATGGACCAAAAGCTGTTACACGCATGTGTCCTTAATAAGTGTGTCCGGTGACTCTCCTTGGAGGAGGATGTCATCCATGTGGCGTCACACCTGTGCCCCTGGAGAAGGCAGGGGCAGCAAGGATGTCACCTGCAGGGACGGAGAGGGGCGGCGGAGCTGTGGAGGCCCTGGGGGGCTGGAGAAGACCGGCCCCCGGGGAGAGGCCTTTGAAGTGGGCGCTGGGCAGGTGCGTCCGCCCCGTCCAGGAGAGCAAAGCGTTTACCGGGTGCCGCTTGACCAGAATGAGCGGTTTTAATGCCATTGGTGATTGGGGGCCCCAATGGCTGCAACCACAGTCTCTAGGAGGGGCGAGTCCTCCAGGAGGTGCCTGTATTTCTTCCGGATTTACGGGCCGTCCCGTGGGGAAGTGGGCGGCATAGCTGCCCCTATTAGTTCAATTGTATGTAACAAGTTTTGAGTCTTGATTCCAACTTCCACTGGGCCAAACTAACTATCTTCGTCGGGGGTCCGGGAGGCGCCGTTTTGTGTCACCAGCTCTCACCTGTGCAGGAACCGACTGGCACCTGGGCGGCTGTGGGGGGCACCCGCCCACGGTCCTCCCTGTCCCAGGGGAGTTTGCAATCGTTTTACTCAATTGTGCAGCTTATCCCCTCACGGGAGGGTGGGACCTTTGCATTTCTGGGGGGACCAGACCCACAATTCAGGGTGGGAGGCGCTGGCAGAGCCTAAGGGGGCCGCGGCCGTGCAGGGGACACAGGGCGGTCAGCAGGGCACCAGCCTTCCGGACGCTGCAGCTCCAGGGTGGCCCGTCAGCCCCGCCAGGTCGCCGGGGGCGCCTCTGAGTCCCCTGTCACCTGCCACCACATGCCGTTCCTATTGCCCGGTGTTCTGTGTTCCTTCCCGAGACGGTCAGCCAGGTGGGCCTCTGAGGAGGTGGAGGAGAGGCTCTGGGAGCCCGTTTACTACACCCCCAGGTCCCTAGGGACAGGCCGCACCGGGGTGGGGAGGCCGGAGTCGGGAGCAGGGGAAGTTTCAGGCCACGGCTTTATCGGACGCTGCGGAGAGGGTGGCGGCTCCCTCTGGTCGTTAGTGTTTGTGTCCAAGTGACACCCGACCAAAGGGCGGGTCTCATGCGCAGCCTCGGCCTGTGAGCTGGCCTGTCTGCCATGGCCAGGGAGGGCGGCCATCCAAGGGGGACAGACACCTGCAAACAGCAGCCTGGCGACACCCACCTGCCGCGGGGCTGTGTTTCCCACGTCCAGCAGGCAGGCAGGTGCGCCGGGACCCCACAGGCGGGGGTCCAGTAATGCCCCAGGAGGCCACAGTCGCAGAGCGCAGGGCCTGGAGGGGCGCCCCATGGCTGCTCCCGCTCTCTCCTCCATCTAAGCGGGTGCTGCCTCAGACCACGAATGGGGCCTTGCGCCCACGCGGGAGTGAGGTGGCCCGTGGGCAGCTCCCCGCGAGCTGAGCCAAGCCGAGCTCCCTCCGGGAGGGGCCCAGCGGCCTCTTTGTGTTTCAGGCTGACACAGCGAGGGTGGCGGTAACAGGGGGTGGAGGTGTGAACTGGGGAACAGCCGATTGCTACCCAATCAGAGGCGATCCCTGGTCGGGCTGAGGGCCCTGCTCAGGGGGCGGAGCGAGAAGGTGCGAGGGCCTCATCCCGGGAGGATGGGGCGGGGCGGGCCTGGAAGCTGCGGGCCTCGGGGGGGGGGAGGCGGGAGTGGTTGGGGGTGGGGCCGGAGGGAGTGTTGCGCGCCCTGGGACCGCACTGCAAGGGCCCTCTCGTCTTTCTGGGTCTGAACCTGTTTCTGGGGGCAGCACTGCTGGGGTCCTAGCGCCGTGCTCCTGACACAGGCAGCGGCATCGCAGTGGCTGGGGGTCCGTAACAATGCGCTCCTGGTCCCTTGAAGAGGCCCTGGCAGCCACGTCACCGTGACCTCGTGAACCACAGCCGCCCGGTACAGCGAAGCGCGTGAGGCCGGAGTTCTCTCCTGCCCCCGCGACCGGGCGTGGGAGCCGCAAGGCGGTCTCGCGGAAGCCTCGGCCAGGAACCTGCCTTTCACCTGCCGTCTAGGGGTCGGTGGCACCCTTGAAGTTCTCAAAACAGAGGGGTCCTGCAGGATTCCTTAGTGTTTTTTTTATTAAGTTAAACAATTTTTATTGTATTTTCAAAAGTTGTTTTCCATTCTGTTTTGCGTACATTCCATACTGTTTTGTGTTAGCGTCAGGGGTACAGCATAGAGGTCAGACAATCACATACTTTACAAAGTGTCCCCCCCTCTTTCTCCCTGTATTTCCGGTCCCCACTTGGCACCGTACCTGGGGTTCCCTAACTTTTCTGCTGCAGAGCCACGCGGCGTGGATGGGCCGCCGCGGCCCTCGGAGGACGCAGCCGAAACTGGCATTTCCTGTCCACCTGCTCCTCACCAGTGGGGGGGCGCTGTGTCCCAGTCGCCCCCGGGGCGGTGGCTTTTCCCACGATTGACTGTCCTTAGTGCTTTTACAATTGATCATTGTGGGGAGAACGAAGGGGCCGTAGCTGATTAGAGACAACGGATGCTTTATCGGTTGCAAGACACTGATTGGGAGAAAGGGAAGGTGAACCGGCCTCTCCACCGACAGGCGAACGCAGGCTCCTGGGCACCGAAGGTGCGCGCGCGGGGGGTGGGGCTCCCCGCAGGTGCTTTGAAGTGACATGTAACTAGGCTACGCGATGGCAGAAGAGTCAGAAATCGTCCTATGGGCACCCCGATGTTAGGCCTGGAGAGCGAAACCGAAGAGGAATCGTTTTACGGTCAGACCGGGAGTTCTCAGCTGCTAAGCTTGACCAACCCACGGTCCCCGGCCTGGGAGGCAGGGCAGGCGGCAGTCCAGGGGGCCAGGCTGCTGGGAGCGCGGAATTTGGGGTGAGCTCCTACGGGGCCCAAGGGGGGCTGAGGTGGTGTCGTCTGTCCCCTCATCACGTATTCCTGATGGCGTGTGGACCCCCGGCATCGCTTGTGTGCGGGTTTGGTACCAAAACAAGGAGGCCGGGACAGGACGCAGGCCTCGCCGGCACCCCCAGTCCTGAGGGCACGGGCTCTGGGGCCCGGCCCCTCCCCCGCCTACCCTCCTTGGTCTCCTAACCTCTCCCAAAAGGAGACACAAGATTCATTTGGGTCCGAAGGAGGTCTGCTTAAGGGAAAACAAGGATGTTTTCTTCACTAAAACAACACTTACAGGTCGCGCGGGCGGCTCCCACTCAGACGCAGCAGCGGGCCCTGCCCCGGTAGCAGGAGCCCTCTGCCTTGGTGAAGCGCGGGCACGGGGAGAAGTTGCAGGTCCCTCCCTTCTTGGCGCAGTCGTACTCCGGGTACCTGCGGAACAGATTCACCAGGCCTGCGCCTGGACGGAGGGCAAGCACGCGTCAGACCCGGGGCTGGCCGCCCGCGGGGCCTCGGGACGCTGGGCGAAGCAGGCCAGGCCGCCCTTGCAAGCCCTTCAGAGCATTTTCTCCCCCGTGGACTTGGCCTGCCCTTGACCTCTGGGGCTGCTCCTGAGAAGGCAGTTGAAGGGAGCCCTCCCCATGCCGTCCCTGCCCGTGAGGGCCAAACCCAGGCTGACAGGGATGGCAGGGCTTACGGGGGCCAGGGAGGGGGGCGGGTTCTGCCCAGAGAGGCTGACGGGGTGCCGACAGTCCCTCTTAGTCCCCCGATGAGTCCCTCCACCTCCCACTGCTGCCCAAACACGCATGCTCTGTTCCACAAATGCCTAAGCGTGTTTTTTAAAAAAAAAATGACTCACAAATTTTAATTCCTATTTGGAGCATTCCTCTTTCCCATTTAGCCAGCCTTTGGTCGCTATATCTACTACTCTGTTCACCATCAGCGTGCCACGTGGTTTTGGATATCGTAGTCCAACACGGCCGTTTTGGGGAGACTTTTCTGTTCATGAACACTCTTTATGCCCACGCTTACGTGTCTTTCTAACTCCACATCCCAAACTTTCCCGCCTCCGCGCTACTCACTAGGCCGCGCCGTCCCCTGGGCTCCCCGTGGCGTTGCCCCCCGCCCTACCCCCTGTTTCTGCCGAGACCTACGGTCCCTTCCTGCCAGGCTGCAATGATGGCCACTCCACAAAACTGTCACGGTTTCCTTCCGCTGGGGTGTGTCCTGCCCTCCTCCCAGAAGCACCGAGTTTCCTAATTAGAAGGTCTCCCATCTCATCATCGGTCAACTGTACGCAGATGAGGATAAAGCAGCCCTACAGTATCCCGGGTAAGTGACTCTCAAGCCATTGTTTTGCACCGACAGGTGTTACAGACTGAATTGTCCCCTCCAGCCCCCCAAATTCACACGTTGAAGCCCTAACCAGCCGGTGCCTCAGAGCGTGGCTATGTTTGGAGATGGGGCCTTTAAAGAAGTGATTAAGGTTAAACAAGGTCCTGTAAGTCATTTCTAATCCAATATGACGGGTGTCCTTGTAAGAAGAGGAGATTCTGACACACACAGAGGGACATGGGGGATACAGGCACCCACAGGACGGGCCTCGTGGGGCCACAGCGAAGGCGGTCGTCTGCAAGCTGCGGAGGGAGGTCTCAGGGGAGACCCTCCAGCCTATACCCGGAACCTGGACTTCAGCCTCCGGAACGATAAGAAAATAAATCTTTGCTGTTTGAGGGGCCCCGCGGCGGTGTTTTGTCGCGGCCGCCCCAGCTAGCGGATGCAATAGGCCGTCACCACCCTGGAAAACAGTGGATTCTGATGCCATCTCTGCTTGTTGGAACCTTGGTTTTCATACTGATCGAAGCTGTTCTCTTATTTAATTCATAGCCCTGTTGCACTCACGTCATCCAGCCTAGAACTGTGGGTGTCTGGTGACGAGCCATTTGGCAATGTTTGGGGACACTGGTTGCCACACTGGGGAGGGTGTGGGAGGTGCTAGGTGGGTAGAGGCAGGGATGCAGCTCGATACCTGCAGGGCCCAGAGCCGCCTTCAGAGAAGAGCTGGCTGGCCCAGTGTCAAGAGGGCCCAGGTGGGGACATCGCAGTCCAGACCCTTGTATGTGGCTCTTCATGCTGCACACACGTGAACACCAGCCAGGGTGCTCATAAAAATACCGGTATCATTGTCCTGGGGCAGAGTCTATGGACTGGGATTTAAAAAAAAAAACTCCTCAGGTAAATTGAACGTGCAGGAAAGAATCAAGAACTTGTGGAGCACTGGTTTTCAAATTTTGGTCAGAGAACTAAAGGATTACTGGGTCAAGATTTGGGAGTGGACAGGAATGAAGGCAAGGGCAGCATATTAAAAATTTGAATAGTTAGTTGCAATAGTAATACTTTTCTATGTATATACCCATATATAAAGAGAACATTCACTTGGACACACTTGAAAGTTTAGTTGAGATAGAGAAATTCTTAGAAAAATGGAACTTACTAAAATAAACAAGTGGGAATGACAAAATGTAAATATCCCATAACTATCAAAGAAGTTGAGTCCATCAATAAAACTTTAGGCCAAGATGGCTTCACCAGCATATTCTACCAGGCAACAAATAAGGATTAGTGTCTACACAGACTGTTTCTCAGAATAAAAAGGGAGAACACTCACCAGTTCATGGTGTGATGCCAACACAGTCTGAATACAAATATCTAACAGGATTAGTCATGCCAGGAAAGGAAGGGAAACATTACAGATCTACCTGATCAGCAGAGGCAAAGATCCTAAATAAAACCTCAGTAAACAAAATAAAACCAGGTTCAGGTTTCATTTAACATGCAAAATCACTCAATGCCTATTAAGAATAGGTTTCAAAGTTTCAATTAACGTTGAAAATCAGTCAATGCTTATTAAGAATAAAGGGGAAAAATCATATGGTTTTCTCCATAGATGCAGAAAAACACTGGAGAAAATTCAGCATTGACTTATGACAAAAACTCTTAACAAATAAAGAGTTAGAGGGAACTTCCTTAATGTGATACAGAATATCTACAGAAGCCAACAACAAATAGTACACTTAAAGGTCAAACACTGACAGCTTTCCATCAGAGACTGGCAACAAGACCATCATAGCTGCTATCATCAGTTCATTCCATGCTGTACTTGAGGTACTAGCCAGGGGAATAAGATAAGAAAAAATAAATAAAAGGTGTGTCATAAAGGAAGAAATAAAATTGTAACTATTTGCAGGCATTACAATTATATGTAGACAGTCCAAAAAGAATTAATAAGCAAATTTAGAAAGCTTGTTGTATGAGGTCAACATGCAAAAAAAGGAAAAATTAATTTTACTTCTGTATACTAGCAACCAATACAAAAAATAAAATAAAACACAATATAGAATAGCATAAGTTAGCTAATTTCTACTTATACTATATGTGTAATACCTCTGTGTATAAGGAATAAAATATTTTTTGTTAAGACCTAAATAAGTGAAAATGCTGTTTAAGCACTGGAAGATTAACTATTTTTAAAACATTAATTTTCCTCAAATTAGAGATTTAACCCAATACTATGAAAATCTTAAGAGATTCTTTCAGTGAAACTTGCTGAGGGAACTTAAAACTTATATGGAAACTTAAAGGGCCAAAAATAACCAAGACACTCTTGGAGAAGAAGGTAGAAAGACTTGCTGTACTGGATTTCAAGACTAATTATAGAGCCACTGTAATTAGACCATGTGGTGAAGACAAGGGCACCCAAATACACAAAGGGAACAGAATAAAGTTCCGACAGAGACCCAGGCATGCAGGGGACTCGCTGCAGGGTGCCAGGGAACCAGCAGAGCAGTGGGGAAAAGTGGTTCTCTCCCAAGGTGGTTCTGGCACAAATGGATATTCACATTGAAAAATCTTTCACTCTTACCCCCCCCCCCGCCCCACATTTATGAGCCTAAATGTAAAACACACAGCAATAAGCTCACAGAAGACAATATTGAAGATTTTCTTCATGTCTCTGGGTTAAACAAAGATTCGCTAAGGTGCCAAAAGAACCTGAACCCTAAAGAAAAAGCCATGACACATTTATTAGCCTCATGAAAATAATGACACAAACCTCTAGGGAAAGTTTTCATTAAGACAGTGAAAAACCAAGGCACAAGGTAGAAGCTATTTGTAATGCATGTAACTGACAAGGGCTTGTATGCTCACTGTGTGAAGAACTACTACAAAACATTAAGAAAAGACAGACACTCTGATAGAAAATATGGGCAGAAGACTAATAGGCCCTTCGCAAAAGACGTCCAAGTGTCAATGCCTACAGATAAAAGAGTGACTCTTTCAAATATATGTTAATGAGGCCAGTCAACAATCCTGCCAATGCTCACAAAGGCAAAACAAAACAAAACAAAACAAAAAGCCCTGCCCAGGGACAGCTACCACACCAACTATTTTTCTAGTCAAGCGTGATAATACGTGCTGGACGACTGAAAGATGGTGTGACTAAGTGGCAGGAAACTAAGAAATACGTGCCAGTGGGTCAGTGAGGAAAGAAAACGAGAGGCGGGAAGAGGGGTCATGGCGGCGAGCGTGCAGGCAGGCTGGGTTTTAGAGGCGTCAGAAAATAAGGCTGCAGGAAGGCGGGACAGCCCCCTTTCAGTGCTACCGAGCTCGACCATAACCTGCACAGGCCGGAGGGTGGCGGTCCAGGGCCTGCAGCAGGACAGAGAGACTACGAGGAGGCCACGTGGGAAACACAGCGCGCGGTCTTTGGACTGGACAGAAAAGGCAGGAGGAAAGCCGTTCAGAGGGTGGCCCAGGGAGGGGCGGGGAGCCGGAGGGGAGCGTGACGATCAGGCCGCCGATAGCTCGCCTTGCTCTCGGCCACCACACTCTCCAGCGTGGCCACGAAGGCTGCTTCCTGTTACACGGTTGGCACGATGGAAGCTTCCGGAGCGATGTGAGAAGGGAAAATTGGAGAGCCGTTGACTAACTTATACGTTTCTTGCTCTGAAAGGCTACCAGGCCGAGGCGGAAGGGAATAGCTGAGACGACACGGGCGCTGGGGAAGAGGCGGCCAAACGCGGCCACTGCCAGGACCCACGCCCCTGTCTCCTCCCAGGGCCTCTGGGAGCAGAGGCCTGGAGGTCAGGGCCGGGACAGGGCCGCCGTGACGCGCTGAGTGGCCTGTGGGAGAAGCAAACAGAGGCACCTGTACCGGAGCGAAGCAGGCGGGCCAGATGTTTGCAATGCCTGCTGCCGGGGTCACTCCCTGGTGGCCCACACACGGACCGGGGCTGGTCAGAGCTGAGGAATCCGCGGGTGAGAGCCCTCTGGGCCTGGGCAAGTCAGCGAGGCTCCGTCCCTGGTCAGGACAAGGGGGTGGCTTGGCGGTCACATGGGGGAAGGGCTGCCCGGGAAGGCGGTCCCTTCCCACTGCGGACATTGGGGTAGAGGCTGCTTGCCTACGTAGGCCCACGCTGTCCGGCAAGCGACTGAGGCCGGAGAGGGTCCCGCTGCATTCCTGTGACTGTGTTAAAGCAACGTGGGGACAAAATCCAACCTGCAAACCGGGAAAGAACACGGTCCAAGGCCCTCCCGGCAGACGACAAGTAACCCGTGAGGCCTCGTGCACTGGGAGCCTCGTGCCGGCCACGGACGATCGGCAACGCTTCCTGTGAAGCTCACAGAAGTGTGCGTTCAGTTCCTGTCTAGGTTGTTCCTGAGAGTCACCTGTGGGCCCCGTGGCGCATCCAGAGGCTTCGGGAAGGCGGGGGCGGAGCATCGGACTCAGGGTCATGGTCAGGTCTGAGTGCTTGAGCTTGAGGCCGGGGCTTTGAAGAGCCAATCTCTCTGAGAGTCAGTATTAAACACTCATCTGTATAACATGGGGATAGGACCTAAAATGGGAACGACCACTAACGCAGCCCCCACACAGGAGAGATGCCGGGGGCATCCAGTGAGACGATGCCCACAGGCGGTCGGCTGTGTCTGGCATGGGCGCGGACCCTTGTTCCCCGTGTGTGGCGGACCAGCTCCCTCTGCCGGCCGGCAGCCCCAGGAGCGCGTTCTCCCGCGTGGGACCCGGAGGCCACAGAGCAGACGCCTTCCTGCCGGCTGCAGCCAGAGGTCTGACAGGGGGGAGGAATTCCGGCCAGCGGGTTGGGGTGGGGACAGCAGAGCGTGAGACACTCAGGTGTGGGCAGGGCGGGCGGAGAGGGAGGGTCACGGCACGTTGGAGCTGGGAGTCGGTTTGCCTAGTGCCCTCGTTTTCCAGGTGAGGAAACTGAGGCCCAGGCTCCCAGGGATGCCCGCGGTGGCCCCAGGGAAAGGAGAGAAGACTGCGGAGGGACGACTAATGCCTCTGTTGTGGGTTCGGCTGATGTTGCCCGGCCGGGCGGCGGACCACGCGTGGAGCAGTGCCACTGGAGGGGGCTGTGTTTCGGGGAGGGCTGTTTTTGCCCCCCCGCCCCGCCCCCGCATGTGCGTCTGCTCAGCCTCCACGCCACCAGCCTCTGACGCCCTCCCTGGCTCTGTCGCTCTCCCCGCGTGTAACCCTTCCAGGGCTCGCCCGAACCCAGGGGTCCCCTAAGGCTGCGCTGGCCTGGCCCGGCTCTGGCCCCCATGACTCTTCTCAGCTCCCGGCGCCCGCGGTGCCTGAGACGCCGGGGGGCCTGCGTGGGAGCTGACGCCCGGGGCTCAGTCCTTGGCCCCTGCGACCAGTCGTGGAACTTTGGCCAAGTTATTTATCCAGGAAATGGGGACACTGATTGCTCCTCCGTCAGGGTGCTGTGAGGTCTGCATTAAAAGTGAGAGCCATTGTTTCTATTTCTCCTCACCTCCGGTCTTCCCACCTGATGCCCTTTCCGTCCGGATTGGCCCTGGTTCCCTGCCTGCTCACTGCCGCTCACTCATCTGGTTCAGGGCTGTAGCTCAGGCACCCACCGCGGACGGCAGCTGGCGTGAATCTGTGATGTGGGCCGAGGAGGGGCGGTCGGGGGCGGTGGGGGCGGCGGGACCTCGGCCACTGCTCAGCGGCAGCTCCCTCTGGCTACATTTTATGTATTTGTAAGAAAAGATACAAATCTAAATTTTCTGTGACATACCCTGATTTCTAAACACTGAGAAGGAGCTGCATTTTATTCTCTTAAAGTACCATGAACCCCCGAACGGCTCCCGTTCTCCTGGCACGTCTCAGCGTCCTCAGGAAGCCTCCGGGGCCCCTCACGGCCGCCGCCCGCGGCCACACCTGCCCTCCCCGCCCTGCCCGAGCCAGAGGCCCCCGCACGGTCGTGGGGAGGTATGTGTCACACACACGGGTTTCCTGCCGGGCTCTGCTTCTAGAATTTGAAGCCGTGAAGCTTGTCCCTGACTCTTCCCAGTCTTGGAGCAACTCCTGGGCTCCGGGACTGCGAACCAAACGTCTACGGGGGCAGAGAGTGGGCCGCCTCAGACGGTCTTGATGTCCAGACACCTTGGCCGGGCTCTTGACTAGCTGATTCAGGGACCTGAGTCTCTGTGTTGCTTTGCCATCGTCTGTCCTCGCAGGAAGACCATTTGTACGAGACAAATGTGGGCAAGTCATTTTTTTTTTTCAGAGATGAAAACTGCGAACGGAGTGTCATGATTTCTTGCAGTGACCCCATGACTCTCACTCCCTGCGCTCCTGGGTGCCTCGGTTTCCCCATCTGTGAACCGGCTCGGCTGGCCTAAGAGCTCTAAGGGCTCTGCCAGAACTGACCCCTCGTGAGGGCTCAGGGGAGTCGGGGCGAGGTGGGCCGAGCACACCTGGGGCAGCAGCCCCCCCTCTCCGCCCCCGCACTGAACTTGGCCCCGGGGATCATGCTGACCACGCAGAGCAGCCCGCGGGGCCGCTGGGCGGCAGCATAAAATGCGGGCAGCGGCCGCCATAGCAACCACACCACCACGACCCCGGCAATAACAGCTGCAGCCAATGCCCTAAGCCCGCGCCCGAGAACTAAAGCAGGGACTCCCTGCGGGGCCTGCGGCAGCAGGCACTCAGGGGAGGGAGCTGTCCCCGCCCCCCGCCCCCGACAACCACGGCCACAAAACGCACAAAATCCTGGCGGAGGATATTCGTGTCACAAACAGCCTTTCCAGTGGCCACGCTCACGACCTAAATGCCTCGCGTGGCGGTAGCCACGTAGGTGATGTCTGTCTGGCCTGCGGAGCCGCCGGGGTGACCCGAGCCCCCCAGCCTCAGCCCGGAGCTGGCGGTGGGCACCCCTCTCCCCCTTCCAGAACAGCCACCCGCCTCCCGGGTAGGGACAGGCCGTCCTGAGGGGTCCCGTCCCCATGCGGAGAACCCCCGGACCGGTAGGTTTGTGCCGACAGGCCCCACCTGCTGTGAAAAGACAGAGCAGGCACCCCCGCCCCCGGGAGTGTCCGAGCTAAGCCCATTTCGACGAAGAGCTCCCCCACGTCAGCTCGTGTTTCTCCAATGAATGGGTCGCCAGTTTAGCTATTCCTGCGTATCCTTGGAAACGCCTGTATTTTCTGGGCTTTGAATGGGATGCTCGTAGTCTCGTGTAGACATCGTAGATGAAAATAACTCTCATGTTAGCAAAGCGGCATTCAGACTTTCTGAGCCTGACCTGAGCTGCCGTAAGAGACTGCATGGCTACTCAGTACGCGCACACGCATGCACACATGCCCAGAGCCAGAGTGTAGCGGAACGGCGCGCACACTCACACGGAGCAGGAACACGCTGTCGAAAACACCTGGTTGTAGTTCCCGGAGTTGATGTCTCCAGTTCTCTAATGGGTCCCGACCACAAACATTCAGAACGCTGCTGCTTTGGGCCCCGGCAGGTGCGGCTCAGGGGACTGAGCAGTGGCCTGCGAACCAGAGGGTCGCCGGTTTGATTCTCAGTTGGGCATCTGCCTGGGTGGTGGGCCAGGTCCCCAGTAGGGGGCGTGCGAGAGGAAACCACACGTGGATGTTTCTCTCTCTCTCTCTCTCTCTCTCTCCCTTCCCTTCTCTCTAAAAATAAATAAAATCTCAAAAAACAAAAAGAATGCTATGCTAGGATACTTCTGTTCCCGTTTTCAGGTGGGGAAACTGAGGCGCATGCGGAGTGAATGAGGCTTATCTGTCTGCTCCAGTGAGGGCCCGGCAAAGGGCAAACGGGACCTTCGGGAGGGAGCACTTCAGAGCTTGGGGGCGTCAGAGGCTGCTGCCGCTCCTGCAGGGGAGGGGACTAAGCCCGGAATGCGTGACTTGCTCAAGGCCCTGGACTGAGCGAGTGCCAGGACTGGGGTAAAACGTGTCCCCGCTTCCTCCCGACGGTCCCGCCTTCTCTTGCCTCAGGGGCTTGGCTGCCTTGCCCCGCAGGAGCCGGGGTCCTCCAGCGGGACGGGGAGCGGCACTGGGAAGGTGTCCCAGCGGGAGAGCATGATGGGTTCCTCAAGGGGGTCTCTGCCCCCTTGAGTCTGTGGGTCATGACCCCCTGTGCACAGGTGAGTCAAAGGCACCTGTGAGCCGGCGCTGTGGGAGGGGCGGGCGGTGCCTGCTGGCAGCAGGGTGCCCGGGAGGCCCCGCCCAGTGACCCAGGGCTGGCAGCCTGCACCCTGTCTGCCGAGGAGGAAGTGGGCTGCCCTGCGTGAGGGGCTGTCTTGCAGGTGGAGTAGGGGACCCCCGGTACAGTCTCTTTTCTAGATGCCCAAGCGAAGGGGCTGGAGGTGCTGGCAGCTGCCTGGGCCTGGCCCTGAGTCCCTGCCCAGTGCAGAGGGCACGCAGCCCCAGGGCTGGTCCGGGAGCAAAGCGCGAGCCCCTGGGCCCAGCAGCTGGGGGGCTGCAGAGGCTCCGTCCCAGCCAGGCCGGGGACAGCACCCAGACCTCGGCTCCCCACGCTTCCCGCCGCTCGCCCCCCCTCCGCCCCCCAGGCCGCCCAGCCCCGCAGCCTCAGGGATGCTGTCTGGCTGCTCCACCCTCAGGGCACACAGGAGCCAGTTGCCCTCCTGGCTTCGCGGCGCCGAGCTCCCAGCCCTGGGCCGGGGCTCCGCAGTCCCGAGCTCACCTGGGGCTATCTGGGAGGCCAGGAAGCAGAGAGCCAGCAACAGCATGTACAGAGCCCTCATGGTGGCTGCCAGGCTGGGCCGGGAGGCAGGAGGAGGCGCGGCTCCGGGGAGGCTGAGCTGCCGGGCTTCCCGAGGCCCCGGTGCCGCGGTATTTATAGGGTTAGAGGGTTGCACAATCGCGCAGCCGCTGTCGCAATCCTCAGAGGGAGACTCTGATAAGTGACCCCCACGTCCTTTACCCCAGCAGACGGATCCCTGTCCAGCCCCCGCGCTGGGTTTATTTATTTATTTTTCGGGGTTAAGCTGTTGCACTTGTTCCAGCTTCTCTCCCCTCGCCCTCCCTCGCCCAGCCTCACCCTGTCCCTGCCCCAAGCCAATGGTCCGTGTCCACGGGCTGTTCTTTGGTGAGTCCTTTCGTCCTGAGCCCCCTCCCCTCCAGCCCCTTCTGCTGGATTGAGCTCGCAGCCTGGGACCCCGCAGCTGGCCGGCCACGCGGCTGTCTGCCTGTCTTTCCCTTGCTGGGCTGCTTGGACCGGGTTCCTGGAAGGGGCGGCCCCTGCGGAGGCTCCTGTGGCAGAGAGGCCCCGAGAGCCCCAGAGGTGGTCTGGGGCAGCCTCGAGCCTCTTTAGCAGAGCCGTGTCCCCCCAGACGGCTTCCTACTGGCTGTCTCCACTGACAGGGCAGCCGGCTGTTCCCCTGAACCTGCCGGGGAGCAGCTCTGCCCCTGCTGGGCTGCTTCCTCAATCCCTGCTGCCTCCTCTCTCTCTCCCTCCCTCCCCCCTCCCTCCCTTTTAAATGAATTTGTCTCTCACATCTTTTTTAACCTACGAGCCACTTCCGTCACTTACATTTTTATCAAGCCTTATTTTTTTAAAAAGCAGGTTTAGATGCGCAGCAAAATTTGGGGGAAGGTACAGAGATGGTCCATATGCCTCCCTTTCCCCGCTACCTCCACCAGCAACATTCCCCACCAGATGGGACCTGTGTCACCGCTGGTGAACCTGCACTGACACGGCATTGTCTCCCAGAGTCCACCGTTGACCTCAGGGTCACTCTTGCGTTGCACATCTGTGGGGCTGGGTAAACATATAGTGACACGTGTCCAGCATTATAGTATCACACAGAGTAGATTCACTGCCCTCCAAATCCCCGGTGCTCTGTCTGCCCCCCCCCCCCCCCCCCCGTCACGCAAGCCCCTCGACAGCCGCTCCTCTGTCTCTGTCCCCGCAGTTTGGCCTTGTCCGGGATGTCAAAGGGTCGGAATCACACGGTGTGTGTTGCCTTTTCAGTTTGTCTTCTTTCACTGAGTGACATTCGTTTAAGTTTCCTTCTTGACGTCCCATGACATGGTAGCTCATCTCCTTTTAGCGCTGGGAATAATCCTTTGTGTGCCTAACCCACAGATGGGTTACCCATTCCGCTACTGAAGGGCATCTTGGTCGCTTCCAAGGCCTGGCAGTTATGGATAAAGCTGCTGTAAACATCCACGTGCACGTTTCTGTGAGGAATAATTTTCACCTCCTTTGGGCAAATACCAAGGAGTACCACTGTTGGGCCATAGGCTGAGAGTGCTTTCGTTTGATAAGAAACTGCCCAACTGTCTTTCAAAGCAGCTGCACCCTTTTGCATCCCCACCAGCAACGAACGAGAATTCGTATTGCTCCACGTCCTTGCCAGCACTTGGGGTTGTTCGTGTCTGGATTTTGGCCACTCTGATAGGAGTGTCCTGGCGCCTCGTTGCCGCTTTGATGTGCACTTCCCTGGTGACCCGGCCCTGGAGCGTCTCTTCATCTCTAGCCTTTCTCTTCTCTCACGGGTCAGCCTTGTGTTCCCAGGAAGTTCCCCACTGGTTCCCCAGAGTGTGGGCCCCGAGCGTGGCCCCTCGAAGTCAGGGGCCCTGGGCTCTGAACCGGGCTGAGCCTGCTTGAGCCATGAGGGTTAGACTATCATTCCTTCCACGCTCAGTGGCCCGTGTGCCCGGGTTTGGCAATGGCGCCCGAGCAGAGGTGACTAAGCCTCCCTGAGGTCCTGAGGGTGGGACCTGAGCGCTCAGGGCTCTAAGACGGGAAGAGAGGAGACTTCTCGGCTGGCGGAGGAGGCAGCCTCTGCACGCCAGGAGGCGGAGGCTCTTACCGCACCCCGAGCCTGCGGGCACCGGCTCCTCGTGGGGCGTCCAGCCCGCGGAGCTGCGAGACGCCCCCTGCCGGCCGGCCGGGGAGCCCCCAGGCTGTGGCTCCTTACAGCAGCCGCAGCCGATTGCGAGCTGTGTTGCTGCACATTGGGGTGACCCTTCACGGCCTCGTGGACGCCATTGCTGCTGGGCTTCCCTCCCGGCAGCCGCCCCTCCTGCTGCCCCCTCCTGGCAGCGCGATGACGTCCCCTCTCTCGGAAGGTGCGGCCCCGTCCTGCCCACGCGGCCGTGCCGAGAGCAGACGCCAGGCCGCAGGGCCCATCCGGCGGGCAGCCCCTCGACGCCACGCCGCGTCCTAGAGAACGGCAACCGGCGACATGTTTTACGGTGGGACGGCAGGGGCCAGTCCCTCGTCACGGTCTCAGTGAGTGTGCACATTCATGGGGGTAGCGCTGAGGAAAGCCGACAGCCTAGGAGAAGGGCACCCCCTGTTAGTGGCATTTGCTGCCAGGAAAGGACCGGGGGCCCGCGGGGCCCGGCAGTGAGGAAAGCTCCCCCGCGTCCACCCGGTTCACTTCCCCCCATTTGATTATTGAGCTCCTGCTTTGTTCTGAGGCGGCACATGTCCCGGCAACCGCGGGCGTGATTTCCAACACGTCTCCTTGTCCTCTCGCGCGCACCAGACCTTGACGGCCGCCTGTCTAGGTCGCGTCCTTGGCTGGCCGGCCTCCAGGTCACATCTCACCAGCCACGTTGCCGGTGCTGCCCAGAGGCAAGAGCTGCTGGTGTCAGGTGCTCGCCGGAGCACGGGACCTGGGTGCAGTGTTGGGGGCGGGGGGGGGGAGACGGGGCGGGGAGGGCGGTGCTGGCAGCACCCGCCACGGGGCCCCACATGCCGGAGTTCAAAGGAGACACAGTCTTTCGTCGTGGGCTTGAGCCAGTCCCAGGCCCCAGCCTTCCGAGAGTGTGCGGCGGCTCTGTGTGCTGGGGCTGGCCCCTCGGTGCCAGGACGGGGAGGAATGAGGCCGGGGACCCCGCGGGGGCTGCCCCACCCGTGCGCGCGTGCATCCAGCCTCCAGAACTCGGAGAGGCCACCCAGGGGGCTGAGTTGGGCCCTGAGGGAGGGAGGCTGGATTTCAGCCTGTGCCTCCCCTGGAAGGACCACCTGGGACATGGCATGTAGCTGCCCTTCCCCGAAGCGGGGAAGAGAAGCAGTCGCAACACCGAGGGTTGGCGGATTTAATATGTTTGCGCTTCGGAAGTCACCGACAGGCGCCGGGCGCCCACTGGGTACCCACTGCTACGGCTCTCGCTTCTGTTCTTTGTCACACCGCGAGAGCACCGCGGTCCCCGTTTCCCGACGTGATACGCTGGGCGGGCCGCGCACACCCAACGGGCAGCGCTCTGGATCCAGCAGCTGGCTCCCCCTGCCCCGTGCTTTCGGACATCTTTCAGTCTCCTTGGATCCATGTCGTTCAGACAGTGCATTTGCAGTCTGTCTGTACTCCATCTACACTGGAATGCTTTTGAAAAAACTATTTTTGGATGTTGCGGGAAGATACACATAACAGAATCCAGCAATTTAAGCATCTTTCGATGTGCAGCGCAGCGGCATCGAGTTCACCCCTCTCCAGAACGTTCCCTCTTTCCAACGTGAAACTCGGTGCCTAACACCTCTCCCCCTCCCCCGCCCCAGCCCCTGCGACCACAGTTCTCCTTTCTGTCCCTAGGCACTTGATGGCTCTGGGCACTTCTTATGCAGGGAGCCACCCAGCCCTTGTACCTTTGTGGTCAGCTTACATCACTTGGCATAACCCTAGGGCGACCCGTGTTGCAACACCTGCAAGAACTTCCCTCTTCTTCAGGGCTGAATAATGTTTCAGCGCCCGTGGAAGAAGCGCAAGCTCAGTAGTGACTCTATGGTTCAGAAAAAGCTCTCGCTACTGACCTCCTCTCTCCTCCCCTCTCACCCCCTCTTCTATTCCTGGGGGCGCGTCTCAGAGACGGCGAAGGCGAGGATGAGGAGGGATGGTCCTAATTCCCCCCACCCCCGTGCAGGTGGCCGTGCCTCTGGTTTCTTCACCAGACCTGAGTGTCGACAGGGTTCCTCCCTGGGATATAAACACATTGAGAGAAGGCGATGTTTATGGTCCCGGCTGAACTCTGACACGTGGGCTCGGGGCACCGCCTGCAGGGGAAGCCGCGTGCCCGGCACCAAGGGCGGCGGTTCGCGGGGGTGCCTGGAATTGCCCCTCACTGCCACTCAGAGCTGGGGCCTTCATGCTCCCTGAGCTGGGGGCACAGGTACGTTTACTCCAGGGAGCTTCTGCGCCTCGGGGACACTAAGGGTTTCTACCCAGGGCCAACGAGCCCTGGCCAGGGCGCTGGCGCTTACCCGCGTCCGTCAGCAGCCCTGTACGGCCATGGTCCACGTCAGGCCTCAGCGACGAGCTTTTGCATGAGAAAGGGCTTCTGGGAATTAGGACAGGAGACAAAACAAACCTGGCCACACACAATCAGATGTTTTACAGAGACCTCAGGTGCAGAAGCTCTAACTGCAGAGAGTGAGGGGTGGGTTTGGAATTACAGGACAAAAAGCGAAAGGGCACAGCGAGGGTCGCCAAGCTGGTGGGCACCTCGCCCGGCGCTGGGGTCTGGCCTCTGCTGTCTGCCCAGGCGCAGCCGTGCCGCTCAGCGCCTGGCCTCTGTCTCCCCGCATCTCAGAGTCCCAGCCCACGCACGCTAAATGCCCTCCAGGTTGATTTTTAGTGGTAGCGTTGAAAACAATGGCAGCTAGAAACATTCCAGAAACTCTAGGGGATGATGAATCATTCGCCCGATCCCTTTTGGGTGTGGAGCAGAAGAGAGGCTAGACCCTGGAGAAGAAAAACCAGTTTCGTGTGGGCTACTCTCTATTCCCATCAGCGGTGCCCCCCACCCCTTCCTGCCGTAACCCGCTCCGCCCACCGACTTTCCAGAAA